AGAGAGAAGTAATTAGAAAGATTGAAATAGCGATTAGATGTACTGTATATTAAGTATATTAAGTTGGTGTATATTAAATATACACCAACAAAACCATTCTTAAGTTTACTATTTTAAGAGCAACTGTTTCAGATTTTGAAATTTTAAATTATAATTGAATCTCAGTACTATGACACACAGAATACTTAGTTTTATGTGGTTAAAATGGGCTTCTACAGAAAATATATTATCAAAAACCTATAATGAAAAGTTCCCAGACTGCATATAGAATTATCTCTTGGGCAAATACATATTTTTTACATACCACAACATCGGCAGTTCTCTCAGCTTCAATTTAAGCCATATTTTATAGAAATCAGATTTAAAAATAAGGGTGCTACAAATATTTTCATGACAGATTGATGCACATCCCACATTGAATCCGTACCGTTTAGTTGACTCAGTGAATAGTAAGGGCGCCTGTGGTGGCGCAATGCTAGCTATAGCGGCTATGTCCAATCCAGTAATACAGATCAGTGGTATTTATTTCACATTTAGTCAGCTGTAAACACAGTACTTCCCAGTGTTTATAAGAGGATGCATTAAATAGCTGTTTCTATGCAAGAAATACCACAAAGAGCTCAGCTTAGTGGTGCTCAGCTGTAGCAATGAGATGAGGAATGTGATGTTTTGTGTTTAGTTGAAGTTAAACATGAAACACTGAAGTTAATTACATCTGGCTCTTTAAAGTCCACCATAACACTCACGTGGACCTCAGTGAAAATGAGTTTGAYACCGCTGGTCTAAAAGGGTTTGTACAGTCAACTCAGAAGTTATCAACAGTTACCACTGAAACAGAAAACCACTGGAATGGTCACTGACGCCTCTAGGTAAGTCTTTTGGCATCCATCTTGAGAAGACCTTCACCCATGTCAAAAGCCCTGTTTTACTAAAATCAACTTTTATCATACATAATTTTAAAACAGAAGAGGATTATTCTGCTGACCCAACAAGTTTGGGCAGACCCATTGTGAATCAGGCAGAAACAAGCTGCCTCCGATCATTGAGGGATTTAAACAGTGATTGTCGAGTGTTTTCTTGGCTGGAACTGAACAGAGTCTAAGTAAAGCTTAATGTTTTTGTTGTAAGATATTCAAATGTGCAGGAGTTAAAATTGTGCAGAGGAACAGAGGAAGAGTTTTGATTGGATGATGGATCTTGATGAAAAGAGGGAGCATTGTATCCACCATCAGACACARTGGTGGAGCCAGGGGGTGGGTAATGGTGGTCTTGCCCACCATGAATTAATCTTTGGCCAACCCAATCATTTGAGGAAAATATACTTTAAGCAATATAAAAGCTAGAAAGTCTAGTTCACTCAAATGATCTGGGAGGCTGGGTTACATACAGTACTGTATATATAACGGCAGCCATCTTGGATTTTGGTGAGGCAACCCAGTTCTCAACAGAAACTGTTCTTACATGCAGTCACAAACCAGAATGGAAGTTGGTTTCTCAATCATTTTTCAAGTTATACCAGTGACAAAATGAACAGACAGATGGAGGGTATTTCTAAATCCCCTCTTTGCTCTGTGACGGGGGTTAAAACACAAACGTACCCAGACGAGCAGCTGGGTCATGACGACGTCTCCCAGCTGGCAGGCGGCGTGCAGAGCGGTGCGGGGAAGCGAAGACGAACCAGCGGGCTGGCTGTTGATTTGCTCCTTGGTGCTGTGGGCCAGAAGCAGCAGCAATTTGGGCAGATCTCTGTCAGTCACCGCCGATAGCAGCCACGCCGCCATGTGGTCCTCCGAAGGCCTGATCCCCGGGGCCGGCTGGAGAGGTGCCACAAATGCACGCTGCTCGTACTTCGCACGGATCCAGGACTCCCGCTCCTCTCTGAAGAAACAGAAACCCAGGAAAATATAAAACGTGCACAAAGGTGACCGGTCTAAACTGGTTCAAGTTGGTGGTTATACAGAATTTGTTGTTTCTTTTCTAACACTGTTTTATTGATTTAAAAGTAATTTCTTCAAATAAAAAGTAACAAATTCTGACCACTTGCTAATAATTTATCTACAGGACGTTCAAGTGCATCATCTTCTGTTTCTGACCTTTCCTTGGTGTAATAGAAAAATATATCTTGTTGTTCAGTGTTTTAATGAGAAAACTTGAACCCATTTCCTGTTTAAAGACACCTTCATTAACCTAACTCCTCTTCTTCAGGTCTGTTTACTGTGCTGGTGTAGCAGAACCCACCGGGTCGCGTTGGGTGTCGGTTTGGTCCGGCCCTGAGTGCAGCTCTCCCAGATGCTGTTGGCCATGTGGTTCCCGATGGCGGCCAGGACCTGCGTGAGCTCCCCGGGCCAGTCGTCCAGGTCCAGTGAGCGGACCCGGGAAAGATGAGTGCCCAGGTTCCGGTGGATTCCTGAGCACTCAATGCAGATGAGAGCTCCGAGGTTCAGGCTGGCCCAGGTGGGATCTGTAGGATGAGAGAGGAGACACCAGTTAGAGACAATGAACCCAGAACTCTGTTCAACACCTGAGTCCACAGGGCAAGATGAGAACCAGAGAAGAACCAGAGAAGAACCAAAAGTGAACCAGAAGAGAACAAAAGGAGAACCAGAGGAGAACCAGGGGAGAACCAGAGGAGAACTAGAGAAGAACCAGAGGAGAACTGGGGGAGAACCAGAAGAGAAACAAAAAAGAACCAGAGAGGAACCAGAGGAGAACAAGAGGAGAACCAGAAAAGAATAAGAGGAGAACCAGAGGAAAACCAGAGGAGAACTGGGGGAAAGCCAGAGGAAAACCAGAGGAGAACCAGAAGTGAATCAGAAGAGAACCAAAGGAGAACCAGAGGAGAAGCAGGGGAGAAATATAGGAGAACCAGAAGAGAAACAAAAGAGAACCAAAGAAGAACCAGATGAGAACCAGAGGAGAACTGGGGGAGAACCTGAGGAGAACTTCAGGAGAACTGGAGGAGAACTGAGGGAGAACCAGAGGAAGACCAGAAGAGAAACAGAGGAGAACCAGAGGAGAACTGAGGTAAAGTCAGAGGAGGAGCAGCGGAGAACCAAAGGAGAACCAGAGAAAAAACAGAGGAGAACCAGAGAAAAACCAGAGGAGAACCGGAGGAGAACTAGCCTGGTTTAAACCAGACCCTGTCCTTCACTTTGCTTCGTACAAGGGTCTGGATTTGATGCATAGACAAGTGATTCTAGCAGGAGGCGTGGCCTCTGCTGAAGTTTAAAATGATTGGATCAGTTGGCTGCAACGTATGTGGCTGTGACGGAGGCTAAGCTAAGAAGCTAACCAGAAATCGCATGTGCTGCATACAACCCTACTGAGAGGAGAAATATACCGAGCCGAACGAGACGACTGTAAATGAGAGCTGCTGTTTTGTCAGACAAATTTAGTTTAAGTTGGAAGCCTTATCAACATGGACTGGCTTCAATCACTTCCTCCACTACCAGAGAAGAACCAGAGGAGAGCCAAAGAAAAACTAGAGGAGAACCAGAGAAAAACCAGAGGAGAACCAGAGAAGAACCAGAAGAGAACCAGAGAAGAACCAGAAGAGAACCAGAGGAGAACCAAAGGATAACCAGAGGAGGTCTCCAGGAACTTACTTGGAGCTTCACAGTCCACACACAGGCCGTTGCCCTTGGTGTTCCTGATAGCCTGCAGAGCCACAGCCTCACTCTGACTGCTCCTGCGGGCCTGCACACACACATTATTCTGTTAGAACATGAAGCGGCTTTATGGATCAGAAAGGGGCGGTTGTGGCAGAGTGGTTAGGAGAGTCGTCCTGGAACCGCAAGGTCACAGGTTTGATCCCCCGTTCCAGCTGTCTCAGTTGTTGTGTCCTCGGGCAAGACACTTCACCCCTAATGCCTCTGATGTGTGTCCCATCAGTGTAAGAATGTGATTGGCACTGATTAGTCTCCATAGATGATTGTACATGTTAGCTTTGTAGAGACCTAATAGAGTGCTGTGTGAATGGGTAAATGAGGACACAGACTGTAGTGTGAAGAGCTTTGAGTGTTCTGGTTGGGTAGAAAGGCACTATACAAGTACAGTACATTTTGGAAACTCTAACTCCTGCCRGTCAGGCTGGTTGTCTCTGATATTTAAAGGTTGGATGAATTATAGACAGAGGTAGATGCTCAGAGCCTGACTGTCTGATTATTATATAAATTTTTCACCAACTTGTTTCTCTTTTTTTCTGCCTGATAATAAAGTTTTAAGTTCAGAAAAATATATATTTTGTTTGCTGTATTTAGGCAGAGTTTCCTCTCACCAGTGTCATCAGCATCCATGACAGAACATCCAGATTGTTGAACAAATTAAATCATGTAACCTGACGGACGTTTGGTGTTTTAGCCAGCGGGCGTTTCTTTTAGACTCACTGTTTATTGGTTCCTAAATGTCTCTGGTCTGTACATGTTTACACATGTGTGTCTTTTTAATAATATTCAAGACTAAATATTCTACTTTTACAGTTTTTTGGCTTTTTGTTTCTGTAGAACATTTCAGGACTTGCTGCTTCACACTGACCCCAACTTTGAGAAGCACAGTTTTAGCTGAGCAGCTGATCTGCTGCCTTCTACACTGGAAATAACAAGTGGACATAAAAGCCAAACCTTAATGTTTTTGGTTTGTAGAAGGAAACCAGATAGTCCACCCAGAAAGCCCACCGGTCTACAGGTGAACCTGTGACCTTCTTGCTGTGAGGTGACAGCTCTAACCACCGGTTTGATTCAGTAGAAGTTATTTCAAAGTTTTCTAAACTGAGTGAAGAACAGAGAGCTGCACTCTGACACTGACCTCCTCCTGATGATCCTGACTTATTCACTCACTGTTGGGTAATAAACAGTTTACCTTGTTTCTGCCGCTCTCACAGGACTGCAGGCTGGCCAGGATCTGGCTCTCTATAGCCGAGACCCACGAGTCCCTGTCCTCCAGGCTCTGAGCCTCAAAGTGCCATGTTTGTCCAGTGAAGGAAACTATGATGAAGTCTGAATTCTCTTCATCTGCAGGAGAAGAACAAGCATCAGAGCTGAATACAGACAAAACAGATTCATATTCAACATCCAGACAGTGAAGAAATCACGACAGTTTAAACAAAACAAAGTTAAACAGTTTGATGGAGGAAGAAAGGAAAACAAAGTTACTTTAGTAAAAACAACACATGCTGGTATTCTTCTGTTAAAGACAGAAAACTCACTGAGCTCTGAAATACCTTCAAATTACTACTACTGAAAATACTTCAACCCACTGATAAGAATCAGACTTTACAAAAATAATCACAATCAATTTCTGTAACTCTGAGGCTTCTGCATGTGTCCACAGGTGTCCTGCTCCACTCCTCATGAACAAACTGCTCCATCTGTCTCAGGTCTGAAGGGTTCCTCCTCCAGATGTTGGAACAGGATTTAGATCCGGGCTCAGAAGGACACTGATTTAGGGTTATTTTCTTGTTGGAGGACCCAGGAGCTGCAGCTGAGACCAGGTTTTCTGACACCGAGCAGCACATTAAGCTCCAGAAGGCCTTGATAGTCTTCAGATTTCATCGTACCCTGAACAGGTCTGTGTGAGATGGATCAAAGCAGGTCCAGAACAGAACCAAGCCTCCTCCATGTTTCACTGCAGATCCAGGGTTCTGCTCATCATCACTACCAGCGGTGCTGCTGGACCACACTTTGACAAGTTTTCATGATTTTGTTCCAACAAACATTTAAAGTAAAGTCTGATTTTCTCAGTTCATATTTATTACTTTAAAGCTACAGTGCCAGTGATTGTGGAGAGGTTTTGTCTTTGACACAAGGTTAAAACAAACATGTTTCTGCATGCTTCAGACATGATGGAGATGAACAGCAGGGACATCACAGCACAGGCTGAATGTGACCCGTCACCCTCAGGTGTTACCTGTCTTATTAATGTTTCTCAAGCTACCAAAGCTCTTTAATTTCCACATTTTGCGTTTGGCTGCAGAAGCACAAAAACAAGGACAGAGAGAAAGAGACATGGACTGTAAGCTGTTAGGACACCGTTAAAGAAGACAAACATCTGGAATCATCTGGAGCCACAATAAAGAGACAGAGCAGAGCGAACAGCTCTGTACAGCAGGGGGCTCATGTACAAACGTCTGAAATAGGGATACACCAATTTAAAAATTTCAGCCGATATCGATATCCGATATACATAATTATTGCTGTTGTGGTCAATAATCAATATTTACCGTTATTACACAAACACACAAATTATATTATACATACACGCACAAACACACTTGGGTCTTTTTCCCTACATCAGTTATTCCTGGCTGCGCAGCATCAATATCACTATCATGATCAAACAGATGCTGCTCAACCAACCATCTCCTCTCTCAAAACAGAAACACAAAGATAAAAAGTGGCAAATCAATATCGGACATTAATATCGGCCCAGTTTTACATATCGGACCGATACCAATATTTTTAAAAAACGACCAATATTGTCCGATACCGATATGACATATCGTGCATCCCTAGTTTGAAACTCGCACGGATGAATCTGATGTTGCTATAGAAAGCTGAGGGTGGACATCAAGGCCCTGTCACAATAAAATTTGAGACAACTTAGGCCATTTTTTATGTCTAAATTACTAATAAAAGTTAGATATTTGGGTCTTTAGCTGGGTGGTCCAGGCAGCTCACAGCTCTGAAGACATCCCCTCTTCTCATCTGTAATATCCTCTAATAAAACTAAAGTCTGCACAGGCTTTAATTTCCTCTAACTGCACAGACTGGATGTACTAACTGCTCACCGTGCATCTCTGGTGTGTACAGTAATTGTTTTCACATCATCAACACTTTCCCAGCATCCCCTTTAAGCCTCACCAACGGAGCAATAACTGCAGAAATATGAAGCTCTGCTCATTTCCACAATGCTTCTTTATGGATACAGACGAAATTTAAACAGGAAAAGAACAGGTTTTAAAGAACATTTGTTAACGAGGCTCCTGAGCTGTCTGAAGTCTGAAGTCCAGCAGTTAGTTTAGCTTCTTCTGTGTCTGAAGCATCTGAACTTCACTCACCCTCAGCTTGGCCAACGGCTGCGTCTCCTTTCTGATTCATGCTCTTCTTCCTCCTGTTCTTCTTCCTGTCGCTCATCGGAGAGGACTGGCTGGGATCTTTCCCAGCCGMGGAACCAGTGGTCCCTTCCAGGCCRTCTGAYGTAACATGTAGACGTCATGAATAACAGGTGAAAACATAGTTTGAGGGGAACAGGCGAAAATACGATGGAGTATTAGGGCCACACAATGAGATTTTTAACATTTTTTTTAAATTACGAGAATAAAGTCATAATATTATGAGAATAAAATCATAATATTATGAGAATAAAGCCATAATATTATGAGATTAAAGTCATAATATTATGAGAAAAATGTCATAATATTCTAGCCTTTACACGAAAAATCATGCAGTTATCCTTACATTAAAATGAGGAATGTTGAACAACTTAAGTTGTTTTTTAGTATTGCTTGAAATAAATAGTTATGTAATCTTTTAGCACATTAGCATCAAGGACTTGGAAATTGTGCAAACAACTACAAACTGAAGCTGTATTGTTAAATGAATGTATTGACAGATTTAGTCACGTGGCTAATTTGGATAAAAGCATATTAATCTGACCGTGACTCAGGTCATTGCGGACTACTTTGTAAACACAGAGACATCTGTACACAGCAGATGTGGGGAAAATGTGGAGGAAACCAGGAACAGAAAACGGACACGTCATGTAAGATTATGACTTTAATCTAGTAAAATTACTACTTTAATCTCGTAATAAGAATTTTTAAAAATCTTGTATGGTCCTAATACTTCGTCGTACGAAAGGCTCGTCACCTGCGAGAACTTACCGACACTTTGTGCTTTAGTGGACAAGGAGGAGGGGCAGCGCTGAAGTCCTTTCTCACCTCCCTGAGGAGACAAAGCCCCGGGCCGATCGTCGACCACGGACAGCGTGGACGGACACAGCTGAGGGACTGATGTCCAGAAGAAGAAAAATAACTGGTTATTTTATAAATAGTACTGTTTTTACTGTGTTCAGTAGTCATGTCAGCCTATAACCAGCCTAAAGCTTCAGTATTAATCTGTAAAACATTTTACTGGATGAAAACTGAAAGATACTTAAAGGAACAACATCCTGTTTGTTTTTAAGATCAGGTTTGTCTTTTCTTTTAATAAATCCTATAGTCAGTGTTGGGTTTCCTGAGCTATCCTTTAGCTCCAAGTAGGGGTCTCTGCAGAACATGTTGTCCTGTGGGCGGAGACGGCCCTAGTCRTGATTGGCGGAGGTCTTGATGTGGGCGGAGATGGCCCAAGTGACGTGATTGGTCGGATTAATGGTGGGGTTTGAGGAGGCTGGAGGCAACGGGGCTTGGTCGAGCCGGGCAGGAAGCAACATGTTTTTTTTTAAGTTAAGTCAACTTTATTTATATAGCACATTTAAAAACAACTGCCATTGGCCAATGTGCTTCACATATTGCAAACTAAAAACAAAGCATTGCTAAAAGAACACAAATGATAAAACCATAAAAACAGACCAAATAAATAGGGAAACAACTCACAGATTAATTTTAGTCATAACTTGAGAAAGGAAAGCGCTATCTGCACAAAATTTGAACGTCGTACRTTTGAAGGGATGTGTAACAATATGGCTCGGTCAAAACATCCCTAACCAGTCTGTAAAAGATCTCTAAAWATCAAKATTTTTTACACGCTGGARAAGTCCCAGGAATTTTGACCACCCCWCTGAAGTCCCGAAAGAGGGTCAAAAGACCCTTAGTCCAAASTGACGATTCTGAWGGCTCCAATTAGCATCCTTTCATTTGTAAATGTGGCTATTGCCACATTTACAGAAGGGGACAAAACCCCTCCTTTTGCTTAGCAATCTGAGACATACAAACATCTTTCTTTGTTGTAAAAACAAAATGTATAGACGTCGTTGTCGACAAGATGATGTCCTTGTCGACATCGTCAACGTCGACATCGTCGTCAACATAGGTGCAGAGTTTTGGGCCAAAGTGGGGATATGTACGTAGGGGTACAGTTTTGCCGCCCGATGATACTCCCACTCTGTTTCTCAAGGGTTCCTGTTTAAAAGTTTTTGCTCTGAAGATGTGGTGTGTTGCAAAGAACATAAGTGGATGCCACTGTATTTTCAGAGCTACAGTAAAAATTCTAAATATAGTATCTGATTCAAGTATTATGTGTTTAGTAAGGTTTTGTCTTTTTGTTTTCAATGAATATATCAAATCAGTCAGAATTGACAGGGGGAGCATAAAAGTTATTTTGTGGGACAGTTTAGAAAATTTACAAATACCACACATTTACACCTGTGAAACACATTTACACCTGTGAAACACATTTACACCTGTGAAACACATTTACACCTGTGGCAGAAAGTAATTTACAGCTACTTGAATAGCTGTAGTCTTGTTCTTATGAGAACAGAATAAATGCAGACACACAGACAGGAGTGGATCATTATTTTTTACCCTTCGATCGTGTTTGGAGCAAAGAAAAACACAATGGCACCAAAGAAGACCTACAYTGCTTTGCAAGTTTTGGAATTACTGACTGCTATGGATGACTGCGAGTCCGATGGAAGAGAGGAACTAGCTTTTGATGAAATAGATGATTCAGACACTGATTTGAACTTAGAACTTTCTACAGATTAAGATAAATGGTAAATGGTAAATGGACTGAATTTATAGAGCGCTTTTCAAGTCCCTCCGGACCCCAAAGAGCTTTACACTAACAGACCCATTCACACTCACATTCACACACTGATGATGGCAAACTGCACTGTAGCCACAGCTACTTTGTAAATATTGTAAATAAAACTTGCTGCTAATTCCTGTTTATGTATCTTGATTCCCTCAGCCATGTCTGCAGCCCAAAACTCTGCCCCTACATCCCCCCCCCCTTTTCCCAAAACTCTGCAACTACCCCCATTGGCCCAAACTCTGTAGACATGGCTGAGGGAATCAAGATACATAAACAGGTCTTGGCAGCAAGTTTTATTTACAATATTTACAAAAAAGCTTACACAAGCAATGTATACATTTTGTTTTTACAACAAAGAAAGATGTTTGTAAGTAGATGTAGCTGCTTCACATCTAACACATTACACACCCAGTTTTCCTCCTACATTTGCGACAGGTAAAGTTCTTGCAAACTGCACACTGTTTTGTGTTGCAGTTTCTTTTGCAGAGTGTCTGAACCTGACACTGTCGTCTTTCCAGGACCAGGCTGGGTACGTGGCTTTTTCATCATGGCCTTTCCAAGCATAAAACACTGTTGAAATTCAAGTGCAAGGCCATGTATAAAGTCTCTTATGCTCTCTTTACAATTTTTTTACTGTAGCTCTGAAAAGTCAGTGGCATCCAGTTATGTTCTTTGCAACACACCACAACTTCAGAGCAAAAACTTGTAAACAGGAGCCCTTGACACTAGTTTGACTAAGGCTGCGCTTTTTTGCACAGGAGACCTTGGCCTCTACATCCCCTGCTCCCCTGCTGTGAGCCACAGTGTCTATTAATGTGCTAAAGAGTCAGTCACACCTAGAGCCACACATAACCCTAATCACAGCTCACCTACATATCCCTCTTTTGGCCCAAAATGTGCTCCTACAACCCCGCCATTTGTAAATTTTCTAAACTGTCCCCAAAACTGTGCCCCTACATACCCCGCTTTGGCCCAAAACTGTGCTCCTACAAATCCCCCCTTTGGTATTTGTAAATTTTCTAAACTGTCCCCAAAACTGTGCCCCTACAAATTCCCCCTTTGCACACTTTTGTGCTCCTAGTCAATTCTGACTGATTTGATATATTCATTGAAAACAAAAAGACAAAACCTTACTAAGCACATAAGGCTTGAATCAGATACTATATTTACAATTTTTACTGTAGCTCTGAAAATACAGTGGCATCCATTTATGTTCTTTGCAACACACCACATCTTCAGAGCAGAATCTTGTAAACATGAGCCCTTGAGAAACAGAGTGAGAATATTATCAGGCGTGGTCGGTGTGTCTGGATTAGCTGCAGCCATATGAACAACAAAAGGCAACGAATAGCCCTCAGATTGCTTATTTTCAAAACAAAAGCACCCGTTCACAGCTGACATAGAATGTGAGCTAAAATCCTTGAGCTCAATCGACCCCTCCCTGGGTTCCAAAGGTAGAAATATTAAATGACCCTTCTCTGGGACTTGTAGTGTAAAGAATGTTTTGACCAAGCCATGTTGTTACTCATCCCTTCACATGTAAGACGTTCAAATTTTGTGCAGCTAACACTTTCCTTTCTCAAGTTGACTAAAATTGATCTAAAAAAAACATGTTGCTTCCTGCCCGACTCGACCAAGCTACTCCCCGCTGCCTTCAGCCTCCTCAAACCCCACCATCAATCCCACCAATCACATCTCTTGGGCCATCTCCGCTCACATCAAGACCTTCACCAATCATGATTTGGGCTGTCTCCGCCCACAGGACAACATGTTCTGCAGAGACCCCCTTCTCTTTAGTTCTGCTAGTTTGAATCTGTTAAACTGTGTCTGGTTGTCACAGTAGCATGGAGAGTTTTGAGGAGCAGCTGTCTGAGGCTGTCAGATAACGTGCATAGAGGAGTCTGTCAGCTGAAAAGTATATGTTTCTCTCTGTGTGACAGATCTAACAGCAGATATCTGAGTGTTGTGTCCAGAGTAAGACACAATGCTGAACCTTCAGAGTGCTGGAACACAAACTGAACACTCTGCTGCTGGCTTTAGTTGCTCTTCTCTCCTTGTTTTTATTACCATAAAATCGACAGCTGTACCAACAGCCTGTGTTTGTCCGTGTTTCTTTTCTGTCCTCTCAAACACCAGCCGGTTGAGGCAGATGTTCGCCAACCCTGGTTCTGGTCCTGGTCCATTTGCCCGTGAAGTAATTGACCCAACCCTAAACATCTTAACTGACACCTCCCACGTCCGGCACACAGACTACACACCTCTGAAGTAAGGGAGTCCAGGGTTCCTCTGTGTAAACAGAACTTATTAATTCCTCTGTCAGTCAAGGTTGTTATTGATGATAAATAGTTAAGCTAATCTGTGCATGGCTAAAATCTGTGTTAGTTTAAACCAGGGATGTCAAACTCCAGTCCTCGAGGGCCGCTATCCTGCATGTTTTAGAGGTTTTCCAGTTTTCATTCTTTGTTACTGTCATGTTTTTATTATTATTGTATTTATTGTTCCTGTGGTTTTTTAATATTGCACTGAATGGGCCTCATGCAAGAACCGTTCGTACGCACAGATTTGTTCTTAAGTTGTGCGTACGAGTGATTTAGGAGAATTAGTGGCATTCACCAATGTTTTCGTATTCTAAGATTTTTTTCAGATACGAACAAAATTTACGAGTGGTCCAGACCTGT